AAAATGCCTCGATCGATAAGGCACCACGCTCCTTGTGCACACAGGGAGACTATCACTTTGTGAACGCAGAGGGAACGGGAGCGGCCGCCGTTGCTTTTGGCCTGTTTCGATTTCGACCACGACAGGCTTCGAATTCAAACCACCACTCTACCTGACGTTGGAAATTCGAGGGACCAGTAACACAGGTCCATGAGGGCTACCAGTAGCACAGAGTGGAGAACCGGCAGAGTGGTGAATATGGGAAATGGGATGAATTTGCGCTATAAGCTATTTCGCAGTTGAGACAATTTTTTTATTTTTTTTAAACATTTTTCCTGAAAAGATCATGACCAAATCTACGGACCCTCAAATTTTCAGACTTGTTCACGAGTTCTTCTGAGCGTGAAAAATCTTTGAAATAGGGGTACTTTTCCCGTTGGCCCACAAGTTGTCGTGTGCCAAAAATGGAAAAAGTGACGAATTGGCGTGGCATTTATTTCATGGTCTAAACGATTTTATTTTATTTTGTTGATATGTTTCCTGGAAAGATCACGACCTGGCCTACCTGATATCAAATTTTCAGATTTTTTCTCCAATTATTCTGCGTACGAAAAATCGCCAAAGTTGGCGCTCGAAAATTGCAAGATTGGACCCGCCTGCGCCTTCCAGTCGGCGCCCCCCCAAAAAACCCGCCCTAACTCACCACAGGGCCTGCGTCCACGTCGTTTCAGATTCGAAATTTCAAGGCCCTAATGCCACGGGCAGCTACCGGTCCTGCACTTCCTTGAACTGCCTATTTCGCACGAATTGGACCCCCAGCAAATACACCACCCTTCCAACTACCGCATCGTTTGGTGACGACGACGAAAAATGTTCCCAGGGCATAAAAGGCACCCCTGACGGGCTGCGAACACAGCCCCTTGTCGAGGCTGAGGGAGATGGCCGAACCTCGGGAGTACCGAGTACTCCATAGCTCCGTCCCACGCCCCGTAACCCGCGCCTTGCTGCCGACGCAGAGTGCCGCCGTTTCCGGACGGCGGTATCGGTATCATTGGTAACGCAGCGCTTCCACCTCCTGTCCAGATTTGACAGGTAATTGAATTGGTAAAAAAAAAAAAAAAGGAGTCCACGGCGCGATCTATGGTGGAAGCGGGAGGAGTGAGAAAAGGGCCACCTCGCCTGTCCTGCTCCTCGCTCCCGTTTGGCTGTGCTCCCGTGCCCTGCGCGGTACACAGTGCATGTGGACAGTAGTGGAGCGAGGCCCTAAACCCTTGGGCTGGTACTGGGGACCGTGCCCCTGTCGTTGGTGCACTCATGAGTTGTTGAGGACTGGTTCGAATCGAGTCGCCATCAGATGAACAAAATAAAATAATCTCATCCTCTCTCTATCGTTCCACGTGTCGCAGAGGGCGCCGGCAGACTCCAATTTTTTTTTTTTTTTTTTAAATCACACACACGGCTGACATCTGCTAGCCGTTTCCGTTGCCCTTTTTCCTTCAGATATCATGGGTGAACTGACCAGCCCCAGGCAATTCACAATTTACCTGTCTGTCCTGTTCCTCTGGTCCCGTCCCGGTGGAAGGTCCCACTTGCGCAAATTAGGAGATCGGCCGTTGATCTTCTCTATCTACGGTCAGTATCTCTTAATTCGTGCAAGTGGGACCTAGCCCCCGATTCGAACGCAGGTCTATGTTGCAACAGGTCATGGGTTATGGTACCAACTGAGCTCGTTGCCTAATTTTCGTTGCCTTGTTGCGATTACGGGTTCCCAACTGAAATGCGACATTTTGTTGAGCTCAGGCGCACCGCCCCTTGCTACCACTGGCGCGCGCGCAGAAGAATAGGGCAGAGTCCGACGTGGACGACTCAAACTTGACAGCAACGGGCCCAGTGGCACGCGTGTCTGGGACCGCGTTCCATCATCCGGTGTGGGGGCCGAAGGCACGTCCACGTGTCGCCCGACGACACGTGGGACACGTGGTCGGCGACACGTGGACGCCTACTCTTTTTCCTTGGCGTTTACAGACTGGGCTATCGTCTTCACCCGATAGAACGCCCGGTAGTTATAGCTGTATTTGGTGCAACTTTCAGTCGAGATACGGCAATAATCACCGGGCGTTCTATTCGGGTGAAGACGGTAGTCTTGGCAAGTCCAATGACTCAGGGCGATGGCGTGCCTGCTACGTCTCTCTCCTTGATATTGCCGACCGAGAATCTGGTGGAGCAGGAGAAGGGGGAGGGAGAAGTAGGCAAAGCTGCAGCTGACGACGAAGAAGCTGGAGTTCCACGTCGAGGAGGAGGAGGAGGAGGAGGAGGAGGAGGAGGAGAGGCGAAGGAGAGCGATCCATTGCTCTCTCTTTCTCCTTCGTCACTTGAGCTCGAATCGGGATCCCATCGTGGATTCTTGTCGGTCTACATCGACAGCCTAACGTCTGATTACGGCTTGACACGTGTCGTCTCAGGGTTGCGTAGAATATCCAATCACGTGCACTGGGAAACCATCGGGCTTATCATTCTTGGCTTGATCTTGTTAGTCTCGTTTGCGATTCTTTATCAGAGAGGGGGAGGTATGTCTCCCACACAGAATAACGACGATGAGGGATGGTGGGGTCCTCTTTGTGATGACTGCTTTGCTGACGACAGCGAGTTGGAAGAGGAGGTGGGGAGCGGAGGCGACGGCGGAGGAGGTGGAGGTGGAGGTGGAGAAGAGGGAGATGTAGCTGACATTAGGAGTGTTGTCCATTGGAAGCCCGACTTGACGAAAGGAATGGATGTGTTTGAGTGGGTGACTCATCCACCTCCTCGGCTGCCGAGAAGGCGCCACGTGTTCACGCTCTCGGATTTTGGGGGGGTCGGAGATGGATTGACAGGGAATACACAGGCGTTCGAGCTAGCGATGGAGGCTATCAAGAAGGTCTCAAAATACGGAGGAGCAGAACTCCACGTAGAAGCAGGGGATTGGCTTACGGGTCCGATCAGCCTAACCTCACACATGACATTATACGTCGAAGCTGGAGCAAGAATACTGGGCAGCAAGGTAGTTGCATCCAATTCCTTCTCCCTTCCATACTTGTTTTTGCCTTCCTCCTCCTCCCTCCTCTCCTCCTTCCTCCTCCCCCCTCTCCTCCTCTCCTCCCTCCTCCCTTCTCCTCCCTCCTCCTCCCTCGTCCGTTCTCCGTACCTCCTCGTCCTCCTGCAACTGGTGGTGGTGGTGATGGGGGTGGTTAAAACTGTGGTCTTGTTTTGTAAAACCTCCACCGATTTCCTGTCAAGACTCCATTTTGCCTCCTCCTCCTCCTTCCTCCTCCCTCCTCCCCCCTCCTCCCTCGTGCATTCTCCGTACCTCCTCGTCGTCCTACTACTGGTGGTGGTGGTGGTTAAAACTGTGGTCTTGTTTTGTAAATCCTCGACCGATTTCCTGTCTTCAATACTCCATTTTCCCTCCTCCTCCTCCCCCTCCCCATCCTTCCCCTCCTCCTGCTCCTTCTCCGCCTTCACCGTCTCGTGCTGCTCCTGGTGGTAGTGGTTAAAAGTGGGGTTTTTATTTTGGAAAATCCAGACCAAAGATTACGTCGATTTTCCTGTTTAGCCTACCGTCTTCCCCAGAATACCACGTAGGGCACACTTTAGCTGTATTTGGGGCACCTTTCAGTCTAGGTACATGGATAGTGACCGTACGTTCTATTCATGGGAAGGCGCGGGTAATTCCATCCAGTTCCTTCTCTCTTTCGATCCTTTGTCTTACGTCCTCCTGCCTCCTCTCTCTCTTCCTCCTCTTCCTCCTCCTCCTCCTCCTGCCTCCTCCCTCTCCTCCTCGTGCTTTTGCTGCTGCTTTTGCTGATGGTGGGTATAAGTGTATTCCTGTTTTGGAAAATTGAGACCTGAGGGTACATGCAATTAATTCCCTGTTTAGCCAGGTGCTTCACCGGTTCATGTGACGTTTCGTTGAAGCCCCCAAGCCTCACATGTGCTCAACACACACTTGTGTCCATTTACGCGTGCAGAGTTCGAGCCCCGGGACCCAAGTCCAAGTCCCACTTACCCCAGATTTCCGATTTCTGACCGTACAAATAATGAAGATCAACGGCCAGATTAACTGTGGTAATTGTAGAAGGGAAAAAAAGAAAAAAGAAAAAAGAAAAAAGAAAAAAGAAAAAAGAAAACGCGATTGTGGATCGGACGCCTGAATCTGGACGTAATTGTGGAGAGGTGCGGAAAAAACGCGATTGGACTACTTTTCTGCATCTCTGCGTAAAACACGTCCAGATTCAGACGCTTAATCCAATCCTCTTTGTCATCGGGACCTCGCCCACTGGCAGTAATTGTTTTTTTTTTCCCCTTTTTTGTTTTCTTTTTTCCCCGAAAGAAAAAGTTAATTACATGCTGGGAACACCAGGCCCAGCGTCCCTCACATCATGTTCTAGTGACTTGGTTTATCTTTTTTTTTTTCCTTTTTTTTTTTTTCCCTTCTCTCAGTTTCACCTTTCACTATCTACCTACCACTAGCCTCGTTTATCCCGAGTAGTTTTTTTTTTTTTTTTTTTTTAATATTTAATTTGGACCATTACTCGATTTATGCGTGTCATCCTTGCACAGGGGCCATGCTAATCTCATTCTCTGTATCGTTCCAATTTTAACGGATGTCCCGAAGGATGTCGCCATCCTTTTTTTTTCCTTTTGTGCGTCCCTCCACCCCCCCCCCCCCCCCCGCCCCCCCCCAAAAAAAAAGAAAAAAAAAGAAAAAAAAAAGAAGTTTGCCCGTGACCAAAGGGCCTAGAATTCTTTTTCGCCTTTCACTAGAGGCGAAAAAGAATTTGAGAGGCCTAGAATTCTTTTTCGCCTTTCACTAGAACATAGTGTAGTTAAAAAAAAAAAAAAAAAAAAAAGGGCCTAGAATCAGTTGGTACACTCATGAACTGTTGAAATCCAGACCTCAGTTCGAGTCCAAATATCAATATCAGCCTTGGGCAATAAAAATAAAATAAAATAAAATAAAATAAAAATAAAAGACCTCAGTTCGAGTCCAGATGGACTTAGAATTTTAGAGGAATAAGGGTCTCGCCGCACGGTACACAAAACGAAAACGAAACGAGTGCATCTGCCCACTAAAGGTGGCAAAATACACTCGTTACTATTTATAGCAAAACGATGAACCTGGCCATTTTCTGCAGGAAGATGCACGCGTTTCGTTTTTCGTTTCGTGTCCCGTGCGGCGACGCCCTAAGATAACTCTGCATTTACCTGGGGCCTGTCTGTTCTAAGACGTTATCTCAAGGGGGACCCTTTTTTTTTTTTTTTTTTTTTTAATAAAGTGTGGGGGGACCCTTTTTAAGCCTTTCGTCAAGGGGACTCTAGGCAGGCCACCAGGAGGGCGTTCCGACGTCTGAAGCCGACCTCTGGTCGTTTTTTTTTTCCCTTTAAGAAAAAAAAAAAAAAAAACGGATTTACATTGTTCAGAGGTTGATAGTCAACACTTCCTCTTTTTTTTTTTTTTTTTTGGACAAATGCTCCAATCTATTCGTGGGGAGCAACACGTGCTGGGAACCGGGCCCAGGGTCCCAGAACGATTCTTTTTTTCTTTTTTGTCTTTTTTTTTTGTCCCTTAAGACTCGGAGCGTTCTGACAGTTGGGATGACAGAAGGAGGCAAAGACAACTTTTTTTTTTTTAATTCCTTTCTCGGCTTTTTGGCTAAGATCAAGTGTAGTTTCTGGTTTTTATCCAGTTTTTTTTTTCTTTTTCTTTAACCGAATTTTTTTTTACGTCTTGTGATGGGTGGAAAATTTGAACAAGACAGAACAGCAGATGATGGATGGTATGATGGTATCTTTCTTTCGTTCCCCCTCCCTTTTCCCTTCTCCCTCCTCCCCATCCTCTCCTCGTCATCCATGTATGAATGACCATTGTTTTTTTTTTTTTTTTTTTTTTTTTTTTTTTTTTTTTTTAATGAATGACCATTGTAATACATTCTGAAGTGCATGTTCCGAAAGCAACTTGGCCATTGCTTGTCCCTCTTTTCTTTTTTTCGCTTTCTCTTTTGATCCTTGAACAACTTCTCTTGTCTCCCTTCCCCTTGTCTTCTTCGGCTTACCTCGTTCTCTTAGGGCATACTCACATTGGCACTTTCCTAAAATGTATCGGACTGCAATCATGGCCGCACCGGGATGAATCTGACCGCAATCACATCCAGAGCTTAGTAGAAAAAAGTCCTAGTGTGTGTATACCTTTATCTACCTCCTGCCTCCGGATCACAACGAGGCAGGAGGTGGATAGGGGTAGACTCACACTAGGGCTACTAAGCTCTGGGCGTGATTGGGGGCACAGATTCATCCTGGTCCGGCCGTAATTGCGGTCAGATACATTTTCGAGTTCCTGTCACTCTCTCTTCCTCTCTCGCCGTGTCTCGCCCTCTGTCGCCCTCTCTCTCCCTCTCTCCCTCTCTCTCTCTGTGCGTCTTTCTCCATGGTGAGTTTAAGGGCATCGTTGCACCACTCGCCACCCGCCAAGCTTTTGAATGCATCTTGACAAAGTTAATGTCCAAATGCATTCAAAATGTTGGCGGACGGCCAGTGGTGAAACTATGCCCTCAGAAATATTATTATTATCTAGGTATGTAGGCTACCAGCCGGGCCGCCCGGGTCACCCTGTTTGCCCTAAGAAATATTATTATTATCTAAGGTATGTAGGCTACCAGCCGGGCCGCCCGGGTCACCCTGTTTGCCCTAAGAAATATTATTATTATCTAGGCTACCAGCCGGCCGCTCGGGTCACCCTGTTTTCCCGGGAAGCCCGGGGAGCCCGGCCGTGCAAGGACCAGGGAAGGTCCCAGCAAAAAAATAAATTAAACAAAATCCACAAAATCCGGAAAAAAACTACGTGATGCAGAAAAATAAACTGAACAACTTTTGCCTCAGGGTCACATCGAAATTATTTACCAAATTTAACACGAAACATAAAATTAAAAATGTATTATTTTCCTTTTTTTTTTAATTATTAATTTTTGGTCCGGCCGGGCAAGTGGTCCCGGGCCACTCTGGTAGCCTAGATTATTATCATTGTTATTATTATTTTTTGTAATTTGGGTACCAATGAAACCCATCAACAATTCATTCCCAACCAGAAAGGGAAAGTCCTTTTTTTTCCCCTGTCCCTGGCTGTGCTACCAGTCGGGCTGCTCGGGTCACCTTGTTTGACCGGGCAGTCCGGCCGTGCAAGGACCAGGGAAGGGCCCCAGCAAAAAAAAGCAAAAAAAAAACTGAAAAAAAACTATGTGATGCACAAAAATACAGGGTCACATCGAAATTCATTACCAAGGGCACGGAAACCGTTTCTTTATTATTCTTCTTTTAACTCCCCCTTCAGTATGCCTCTCACGCTGCCCACATCTCCGTGTGCCATAACGAGCCACTTGTACGCTGTGAGAAAGAGGCAGAGTAAAGGGGAAGGTGATAAGCACAGGGAAGAGAGATAAAGAAAAGACAAACAAAGAACCAAAAGGGAAAGTAAGGGAAAGTAGAGTGTGGAATGAAGATGAAGGCAAAGGAGAGGATAAGAAAAGCTCAAGAGTGAGTCTGTCCTTGACGACAAAGAGGACACACATTGTAAGGATGAGGTGGGTGAGCACATGGAAGACCTAGCTGAGCATTATCAGCACAACAATTGCCACGACGGCTGGCATTGAGCATGCCCACCATACACTCCCAACAAATGGCATGTCGAGTGCAGGCCAAAATGAAGGAAGAACGCTCACCTCAGAAGACCATGCATTCAGTATAGCGCCCATGGTTAAAAAAAATGGCCATATAGTGTCCGGATGCGGAGGGTGCCCGCAGTCAGGAACGGAGGGACAGTCCTCTACACACATGGATGCAGAAACCATCTGATTGTAGTGATTGTGACAGAGACGATGGCGGCTACAGCTGAGTGTAACAGTGTCTGTAGCTATGCAAAGAAGAAGGTCACAGAGTGTTGGTACATTGTCCTGCTGGAGCACGGGACCAGAGGAATGATGAACTTCGACATAAAAGAGATTGCGGACAGTTTGGTGAGGTAAGAAAACAGCATCATTATGTAAGAAATCAGTAGCATCAGTCATGGCATGGACCATAATGTCGCTGTCTCACAGCTCCCAGTGGTCAGAGGCATGTACGATGGCCATGTAATGGCCAGGTCGGTGCACAATGCAGGCAGAGATGTGGGATGGAGGATTGAACCACTCACCTGCTCGGGCATTGCGTAGTTCAAGTTGGCGGTCCCTTGTTGCTACTTGTAGGACAGAAATGGTAAAACCTCTTTCCCTGGTATAATTACAATCCTCTGGCGGTACGTGGGGGAGATCAGCATCAAGCTGAAGGGTGATAGCAAGGAAGTCTGGTGGTGTATAAAACGGGCGGTGGAGAATGTGAAGACATATATTAGTTGCAGTCAGACCACAGAGATTGGTGAGGGTCTCAGGCTGGTGTGCCGGATGCTGGCCAACATTTTGCAGATCACCCAGCTGGTGTTCCAAGGCCAAAATGTCGTGGGTTGTTTGCTGGTCAGTCATTTGCAGATCACCCATGTGGTCTGCGTGTGGAGGGGCACAGGCACATATTTGTGGTTTGTCCAAATGATGCTGGTCAGCCATTTGCAGATCCCCCATGTGGTCTACGCCTTGTGGGGTTAACTGCAATCCGGGCAGATCATGTTCCAATCCCTCAACGTTTGGGGCCGCATCCTGAGCAGGGACTGTCCCGGGAATCGGGAGTGTACTCTGGGAAGGGACCACATCCTGTTGTACTTCTCCCTCTCTGCCTATATACACTGTCCCAGCGGGGCAAGTTGCCCCGGGCGACTCTGGTAGCCTGAGTCCCTACCGACGAGCCTAACTGAGTTGATACATCCGCGAACTGTTGAAATACAGACCTGTCGTCGAATCCAGATGCAACTAACTCAATGACATTCGGAATAACCGGGGGCCAGGTCAGTTTGGCAATTATATCTCAAAGGCGTCTCCCTTCCAAAAGGGAATTTCTCTTTCTCTTTCTCTCTCTGTGTGTATGTTCTCCCACCTTCAGATAGGAAGGGATCAGCAAGCAGATGCGAATCCCTCTGTGTATGTTCTCTGAACGACCAGTAGTTCAGATAGGAAGGGAGACTCGAGCAGATGCGACCTGTGTTGAAATCCAGGTAGGCAGTAAGTCATATGCGGAAGGAGGAGAAAGCATATGAAGTTTCATAGTATCGTATAAGAAGTTTCATCGGAAGTTTCGAAAGAAAGAAGCAGGAAAGAGGAGAAAGACAAAAGGAGACAGAGGAAAGAAGAGAAAGAAGGAGACAGGAAAGAGGAGAAAAGAGGAAGGAGAAATACTTATACGAGGTATACAAGAGGAGAAGTTTCGCCAAGCCATACAAGGCTAAGTACGCGCAAAGAAAAATCAGGCACTGTGAATTCATATAATGACGAACATAATGGGGTTTTGAGGGCGGCTGTAAGGTCACCTACAGTTATCGAAGTCTGCAACCCAGCTTCACATCTCGGGGCATATGGCTTACCCCCAACTGGCTACAGTAGGGGAAATAAAGCATGCCATAAAAGCACAAAGTAGAGGAAATAAAGCATGCCATGAAAAACATTCTATAGAGTGAGTTGCAGTTGCTGCATCGAATGGCACGGAGTAGACAATTGTCACAGGCTACATGGCTCCTACATGCTTATTGAGCTACAGAGACATGCGGGCTGCAATTGTGTAGGCATTGCCGTTCCTGCCCGTCTACAAATGGGCCATGACATGTCAGGGTGCCGTACTTGAGTGCAATGTTGACTGTCATCATACGCATGTGAAAACAAAAACTTGCATGGGCTTTGCCTTCATAATCCTCACGATGCAAAGCATGCGGATCACATGCTAGCCGGATCTCAGGCGGGCCATCACAGAGCGGCATTGAGCAAGTTTCTTCGGTTTCCGAAGTCATTCTTGCCCTCTCTATGGGCAGGCGACAACGGGGGCTGATCCAAAGTAAGGGTGTTTAGCTGCTGCAAGATTTGGTCTGCAACAGGTCAGAATTGGATGCGGTGTTTCCACAGTCCACACCCGAACTGGTCCTGTTCGGTCTGTAGGGGTGGCCGCTTACCATAGGCAATGGTTGCTGCTCAACTCAAAATTCCCTGCAACACAACCACTGACTGGCCTCTTGTGCCATTCTAGAGTAGTCTGCTCCAGCTGTGAGGATTGAGAACCCTTCTGTTCTGTTCCTTGCCCCCACGCTTCCCTCCTCTTCCCCTCCTCTTCCCCTCCTCTTCCCCTTCTCCCTTCCCTGCCTCTTGCTTTGTATAGAACTCTGCCCCCTACCCTTTTCTTCCTCTCTCCGCTCATGTACTACTGGTAAATGCATACGAATGAGCATCATTAAGACAACGGACAAAATATAACCTGAAGATCTGAGGAAAAAGGAACCACCCCCTTTACTCTGCCTCCTTTCATAGCGTTGCAAGTGGACCTGAGGAAAAAGGAACCTCCCCCTTTACTCTGCCTCCTTTCATAGCGTTGCAAGTGGACCGTTAAGGCACACAGGGGATGTGGGCGGCTGGTGCTCAACCACAATCAACTTGGCCAGCCTTTGTACGTGAGAGGCACAGTAAAAGGGGAGCTCCAAGAACAAATAAAAAGGGGTACCCCAAAGAACACCAAAGTAAAGATAGTCATAAAAGGGTATATAACGGATATGTTGTGTTTCATGGTGCTTGCTATAGAGGTAAAACTGTTTCATTGTTGGAAAATGGCTCATGTCAAGTGTGCGTCATTGTCTGCAATAGAGGTAAAGCTGCTTCGATTTTGAATCTACCCATCTGGGTGGAACAGGCCCTGTTGTGGTGAAAATCTACAACACACACACACACACATTATGTTGTCTATCTATACTTTTTTGTTATGGATGGTCTTTTATGATTTGTGGAGGAAGTGAGAGAGGGAATTTGGGATGCTTTAACAACACACACACACACACAAATGGTCATGCTAGGTCTCTGTCTTGGCAGATTTGAGCGGTTAGGATCGGGCTCGTACTAGCGCGCTACTCTTTCTCTGTGGATGGATGTGTTTTGTTGGTTTGTTTTTTTCATGGTTGCCCCGGACCCGGACATCCAGACACCGGACACAGGGCCCGGACCCGTGTCTGGATTAATCCGGACGTCCGGTAAACCGGACATACGGACCCAGACGGTCCAGTTATGAAAGAACAGGTCCGGATGTCCGGATTTAAAAAAAAACAAAAAACAAACGCTACTGTAGTTGTGTAACTTGTGTTATCCGACTTATCTTGAACACACTCACATACACACACAGTGCTGTGCACACACACAGCAGCAAGAACAATGGAAGGGGTACCCCAAGGACAACCAAAAACTGTCTAATTATAAAATTGCCTTAATATGTTGGACTGTGACTGTCTCATCTCAAATGCTCTCGTTGTCTGCAATACGACAAAGACTGCTTTGATTCTGAATCTCAAATTGGGGCTGTTGGGGGGAAAATCACATGCACACACACACACACACACACACACACACACACACACACACACACACACAACCAGTTCTGCTTGGCCCGCTGAAGCTCACCCAAGATTGCAAGTACAGGCCCTTCAGGGCTGGTCCGGTTGGCCCAACGGTCCACCAATAACTGCGCCAACAATTTTCGGGGGTCCACCAGGCACTGGAAAATTGCCTGGGGACCCCAATTTTTTTTTTTGAATTTTCTCAAAATGGGGCCAAACCGGACACCGGATCCGGACATCCAGGCCGGACTGTCTGGATCCCGATCCGGACGTCCAGTTGACAACCATGGTTTTTTTTATACATGGCCTAATTCTTTGCCCTGCTTTGTATCATGGGCTGCCTTGTTGATGAAGTAATGTCGGTGGGTGGCCACAAGTTTTTTCTGGGTTGGGAGTTTGGGGTTTTGGCCACAATCTCTCTGCCAGGAGGCTCAGAGAGTGTTTGCTGTGGGTGTCATTCCCGCGGGCTGCCCTTTTTTTCGGAGCACATGGAAGAAAGGGGTGCCTTCTAGGGTGTTTTAAGCAGTAGCGCTCCTGGTGTCGCGTGGAGATCTTGTGGAATTTTGCATAGTTCTCGCAGTGGGCTCGCTGTAGCACTAGAACATCAGGGGTGCAGGGAATGGGAACTTGGACAACGGACACAGAAAGGAGGAATGAGAAGGGAGGGACGCAAAGTCACACAGTCACACAGTCGCACAGTCACACACACCCACAGTCACACAGTCACACAGTCACACACACCCACACACACACATGCAGGCACACAAAGACCTGCAAAGACACACATCTTGACTCCTCTTTTACAGCATGCAAGTCCAAGTGCACCGATATGGCAGTCGAGGCAGTTGGCTCTCACCCACAGACATGTCCAACCTTGCACCTCTTATTTTTTCTCTGCATTTCTGAGATGTCTTTGGTCTGATGTTTATGATCAATCTCTTTATCTCTCTCCTCATCCCCACTGCCTATCATTCTCTTCCATTTCTTTCCTCTCTCTCTCTCTCTCTCTCTCTCTCTCTCTCTCTCTCTCTCTCTCTCTCTCTCTCTCTCTCTGTGTGTGTGTGTGTGTGTGCGTATTTTTTATCGTAATCCCATCCCGTCTGTCTCTCAGCCACTTATCAATCCCTGTGTTTATGTGCCTGCAGTACCCCTCTCCACCTCGCTCATTTCCCCCCCTTGTTACTCACTCCCTCTATTGCTTGACCTCTCCTGCCAAGCCAAGAAAAAAATGGACGAGTTCAACACTTTGAGCCTCTGGTGTCCTTGTTCGATTCTTTTTGTTGTTTCTGTTAATTTGGGAAATATTTGTTTTCCCTGTGGGCGGCTTGTTTTTCATTTCAGGATATTTCTCACTACCCTCTTGTTGATCCCTGGCCATCATATGGCTCGGGTCGCAATTCGCCTGGCCCTCGACACTTGGGCCTTATTTATGGGGATGACGTTGTGGATGTGGTTCTTACAGGTGAGTAGGATCTTTTCTTTCGTTCTTTTTTTTTTTTTTTTATGTAATTGGCCAATTCTGACAATTCGGACTTTTCCTTGATTTGCACATGTCATCCCTCCTTGTGCAATGGCTGTGTTAATCTTCTTCTTCTTCTTCTTCTTCTTCTTCTTCTTCTTCTTCTTCTTCTTCAGTTGCTTAGTCGGAAAGTCTGGTGGTGCCACAAGGTGGATCTGGGGAGAAGCCCGTTGAGGAGTGCCAGGAGGGCAGCCCGGCCGAAACGCGTCGGGGAAATTGCGCGTATTTTCTGAGAAGTGTACATGCGGAGAAGAAATGCAATCTGTCGATGCTTGTACGAGAAGCAGTCTATGGCCACTGTTTTCACTATTCTCCTCCTTCTCTTCGTTCTCCTTCTCCTCGTTCCTCGTTCTCCTCCTCCTCCTCCTCCTTCTTCTTCCTCCTCCTCCTCCTCCTTCCTCCTCCTCCAAGCATATCCTTATGGGCCTGACTCCGTATCAATTGTGGGAGAATCACCAGCCGGTCAATGATACATAGAAATATACCTCACGCTTGGTGCTTGACGCTTCCTTCTGCTAAACTGCAAGTATATTGCTGTTACATTCTGCATGTCACACGGGTCCCTTTCGGACCCGACCACCAGGCCTACGGGTACCACAGGCCTGGACACGATAGTCCAGGCCGGTCCGGTCCAAAGGCCGGACCTTTATGCGGAAGGCCGCCGGGTAGGCCCCGTCGCACAGGCCCAAGCGGACACGGTCCAAATGATATTACCGTTTGGACCGGCGGTGCCCTAGAGGCTGCCTCCCACAAGGCCGATCTGAAACCGCAGATCGGCAACCGGATCTGACGGTTCAGACCACGGCACTGTTTCGAAGCAGCAAGGCCGAACAGGCCACCACGGTACTTAGTACCCAGCGGCGGTCTGTTCAGGGGATCGCGGAGGAGTACGGAAGCAGTTGCGGAATAGTGCTGCGCTAATCTGTGTTTAGCGCATCTCCGAGCACAGCAGCGCTGATTAGCGCTGAGTGACCGATGGAGGTGGCGGAGGGACAGTTATCGGCTTACCTGCGCAGCGCCATAGCTCCAGGTTGGAGCCGCGGGTCTTCGACAGTTCCAAGGCGCCGACTTGCATCCGCAGGTAGGAGCCTGGGCGCGGACTCGACCTCTCCATCTCCCCTCTGCCCCTCTCGGATTCTTCTCTTCTTCTTCAGACTTCCTCTTCTCCTTCTCTTCTTCTTCTTCAGACTGGAGACTATTGACACGAGTTGGACAGAGATCAGTGATTGGACTTCGGTGGTAGGAGGATGTGATACTTACCGGATTCGAGACATTGGAGATCTCTGGGATTGGTACCTGGCGGCATCACAGATCGGACATCGGTTACAGTAGAGTTTTGTACCTCCGACATTGGACTTTTTTTTTTTTTTTTTGGGACAAGGCTCAAATCTTATTCGTGGGGAGCAGCACGTGCGGGAAACCGGGCCCAGCGTCCCATATGGAAATTTACATCGAATTTTGAAAGTTTGAGAAACCGGGGCCATTACCCGGCTTTGTCTGAGAGAACTTTAAGAGAATTTTGAGCTACTTAGAAAATTACCTGCCCACAACAAAATATGCCACCACAGAGGTCCCACAAATGCTCAAAACCCTGTGAATCCCTAACAACCCTTCTAAAGCTCTCCAGCACTGTCTTACTCCCTGCCCACTATTGGTTAACGGGGACCCCCTCTCTCGGCCCTGGGTATACATTGGTATGAAGTTTGCTTGAAATGGCCTTATGGTTTTCTTATAAATTGAGGTGAAAAATGGGGGGTAGGTTAACCATCTCTCTGCCGAGCTCTTCCAGGCCTCACACCCCCACTCTGCTGGGTTACAGGGCAACACAACTCGCCCCAGCTCCGGCAGTGTCGTCCCAGCAGCAACCCTTGGTTGTCCCTTGGAATGCCCACCCCAAAGCATCCCCAGATCTCTCTACCAGGCCTCACACTCCTGCATCAGCAGGTTACAGGGCAACACCCCAGCACCGACCAGCGTCGTTCTGGCATCTAACAGCCGCAGATCACTGAGTATATCAGCAATGGAGTCGTCTAAGATGAGTTGCTAGAAGTCCCCAGAATCTTAAATCATTCTTAAGACCCCCATTGGCAACCAAAACCAACAAACCATGGACAAAGGAAAAATATCAGAAACATTCATGGCAACTACTCAAAACTCTACCAAGTCACTAGAATATGTGTGTCAAAAAGCCTCCCAACCACGAATCAGATAGGTGAAACCTATTCAATCCACCTACGACCACCTCCAGCATGGCTGTTTTCAGCACAAACAGGAGCTCTTCCAGGCCTCATGCTCCCATCAGGTTAGGTTACAGAGTTGCACCACCTTGCTCCAGCGCCGGCCAGCATTGCTCCAGTTACGACCCTTAATGACCACTGAGACTGCCCCCGCAAACAGCACCCCAGATCTCTTTACCAGGCCTCACGCCCCCACTAAGCTAGGTCACAGAGTTGCGCCACCTGGCTCCGGCTCCGGCCAGCGTTGCTCCAGCATCGGTCTTCGAGGGCCACCGAATTTTTGACCACCCTTCGCAGGATCACAGATGAATTGCCAGATAGCCCTATTCCTACAACCTCCTCGAGAGGCAAACCAAATAGAGAGAAATGGAAAGAAATACTAAACTGGATGTTAGAATTCTTTGAGAGAGATTGCCCCTCCGTCCCCCTATCCCTCCCCCCTCAGTCCTACACTGCCTCCGGCGAGGTGAGTCACCCACTCTCCCTCGGCCCCAATATAGGACCAACCCTCTACCCTTCTTCCCCCAGGAGCACGCAGTTCCCACCTAAAGCATGGTCCCCCCCCTCCCCCCCTTGCCCATTTCTGCCTCCGCTGGGACTGACGTTGACCCACACACCAGCCCCTGCCCCAGAATAGGGCAACCCCCTACTCTGCCCCTACCCTCTTTAAGACATTCACCCCCCACCTTGTGATGCCGCTGCAAGGTAGAGCTCCCCCCACCCCCTTCTTACCTTTCAGCCCTCCGGGAACGATCCGATCCAGCCAACTACAGTTATTGATGACGCACTTATCAAAATGTCGATCGCAATTTGCAAAAGCAAGGCCTCTTCAAAAATATGCAGCTCTCACCATGCGCACGTATGACCAATTTAAGAGAAGCAAAGAACTAATTATCGGAGAGGGTCTTCAAAATTTATAGCTATAATAATACGATTCCGAAGTTTTCGGGTTCCAAGATTAAAAGATCATGAGTGTCCATGATATTCTGATTTTATTCGGTGACATTTTGGGCTACCATATCGGTGACCTTCTGGATTCTATCTCGGTGACATCTGGCGCTGTCTATATCTCCCACCTCCATCGTCTCTCCTCCCACCNCATTTTGGGCTACCATATCGGTGACCTTCTGGATTCTATCTCGGTGACATCTGGCGCTGTCTATATCTCCCACCTCCATCGTCTCTCCTCCCACCATTCATCTGTGTATGGTTGTATGGGGCTGAAGCATCGTCTATGCATGGCTTCAGACCCCACCATCTCACGATTGCTGGTGTGTTGAGTGATGTCTAAGTGAGATCAGTCTATGTGAGTCAGTCCATTTCTCAGACTTCCGCTGCATACATGCTCATCCTATAGTGGTTGATCTTTGGTTCTGCCCATACTTGGTGAACGTATTCACTAGTATGCAACAATTGCCCAGGCAAACTCGACAATCGAAATCGAGCCAATGCGAAAATGTCGGGGGCTCGGGGCTACTGGACCACAATGGTCGGCGGTGCCAGCCAAAAAACAAAAAGAAGTGCGGCGCTGACGGCTCAGCAAAGCTTGGCACGCAGCGTGAATCCGCCACCACAAAACGAGACTTGGATGTGCTGGTCCTTTACGGCCAAAGGAGCTCTGGACAACATTGATTGCTCCCTGTGGAGGATGGTGCTAAAAGCCTAGCAGCCTTTCCCTTCTTGGATTCCTCACTTAAGTCTCCGCTAAGTAGAGACTAAGTGATTGCTCCCTGTGGTGATGGTAATCACACCAATCTCACATGTTTCCACTTAGTCTCTACTAAGTGGATTCAAATTTTCTTCTTAGATTTTGTTTGATTTTACTTCGTTGAAAAAGATATGAGAAATAAGATGGTTCAAGAAACTAATTATGAATGATTTGCATTGAATAGAAATTCAATCAAGGATTTCTTTCTATTGATTATTCTAATATTCTTCCTTATTAAAATCAATTTTTTGCAGGGCTGCACCGGCCACCGGCCGGTTGGACCGGACCGGACCCAACCAGGCCGGTTGGAACCCCGGTGGTCCAACCGGAAAACCGGTTGGGCCCAAAACCGGGTCAATTGTTTTATTACTTTTTTTTTTGATGATGGGGTTGGACTGCGCTTGTCGAGATCTTCCCGTATCTGCAGAGAAAATAGTGATCTGCTATTTGTTTTTCATGGGGTTTGGGGGTGGGGGGTGGGGGGGTGGAAATTCACGGTTTGAGGGGGGGCTGCATTTCAGGGGTGGGTCTCTCTCTCTCTCTCTCTCGCGCGCGCGCGTGCGCGGGCGCGCCTGCCATCCATCTGATCTACTGTCCGTCCTTCTCTTTTTCTCTCCCATGAGAGCCAATCCGGCCTTTGGTCCTGATTTTTTTTGAACTTTTATTTCTCTTTTCTACGGACCTCCCTGTTACCCCTTGTCACTTTCATGCATCTCGGCTCCTTGTCTCTCGTTCAGTTGAATCTCCCTTGTCACTTTCATGCATCTCGGCTCCTTGTCTCTCGTTTAGTTGAATCTCCCTCTCATCCGTGCATCTCTTCCTCTTCGACTCGTTCTCGTTGTGCAGCTGCCCCTCTACCCCTCCGTGTCCATGCCTACTCCGGACGTCAAACTGCGTTTTTTTTTTTCTGCACA